AAGCCCAGCCACAATGCCTCCCCACCTGGGTCGTCAGGAGTAATAGCTGCCTCAGACACCTGGACAGGAGAGGGAGGTTAGGTCACCTTCCCTACCCACCCGTCCCTGCTGGATGGGGTGCCCTCTCTCTGTTCCTCACCCGTTCACCCAGGAGTCATCCCCGGCCTTTCCTCCTTCCTCCCTTTTATTCCTTTCTCCCCCCCAGCGTTCCCCGCTCTTCTGAGTGCCCTCCCAGCTCCCTGGCCCCTCCCCACTACAAAGCCACAGACACGGCTCCTGGGGCGGGGTCATGCCGGCTTCCATCCTTCCCAGCCCGGGTCAATGTGCTCAGCCGCGTGGGCGGGCTCTCGCACCGGGCCACAAGCCCGGTGCAGCCCCCTCTCCTCTGGAACGCCGCTTCCCGGCTGCGCTGCCAGCCGCTTCCTGGGGCCTGATGGAGGGCAGCGGTGGTGCCGCCGCTGCTCGTCCTGCTGCCTCCGCTCCCCCCCTGCTTCTGCCGCGCCACAGGTGAGTGCGAGTGGATCCGCTGCTCAGCTTTCGGGGCCAGCAGGGGTGGTGGTCTTTGGCACGGGGGGCAGGAGTCCCGGCCTCAGGACAGTAATAAAGGACGTGTGTAATGGAACAACAATAAAATATTTTTCGCTAGTATCAATGGCCTAAATTCACCAAGAGAAGAGAAGGAAAATCTTTAAGCAACTGAAGAAATTAAATGCAGATGCTACCCGTTTACAAGAAACACATTTAAGACGGAAAGATCAACACTATCTGTCATGTAAGAAACTTGGATTTACTTTTATATCATCAGATGAAGTTAAAAAGAGAGGCATTGTAGCATTTATAGAAAAAGGACTGAAACCTATCTTTTCGGCAGAGGATGGGAGACTGTTGTTGGTGGAAATTACTATTGGGGATAAAAGGATTTTATTAGTAATGATATATGCCCCGAATGACTACCAAGGAAAAAAATGTGACTGCCTAAAAGATGTCTTAGAAAGATTTGACTATACTGACATGCCTACTGGGAGATTTCAATGCAGTTTTTGATTATGACTTGGATAGGAAGATTAATAAGAAGGTTAAAGCCTCCAAAGGACTTCTTCCAAGATCCTTTTTAGAACTGGTTGAAGAATATAAACTAGTTGATGCCTGGAGAGTATGAAATCCCACGGGAAGAGACTATAGCTTTTATTCTGACAGGCACAAATGCTGGTCTAGAACTGACATGTGTTGGGCTTCAGTAAGTCTTTTACAGGATATTAAAGATGTCGATGTTTTACCTAGATCATATGCAGACCATAATCCTTTGTTGGTGAAAATAAAGGATGTTCCAAGAACATTCAGGTGGAGATTAAATGTTCAACTGTTGAAAAATGCACAATTTGTGGAGTATATTAAAAAGGAAAGGAAGTTATACTTTCAGCAAAATATAAACATGGAAACATCAATGAGAACTATCTGGGATGCAAGTAAAGCTTATTTTAGAGGATCGGCAATTAGATTTGCAGCTGGAAGAGACGAGAAAAGAGAAATCAATATCAAGATATCTTGGATGCATTAAAGAAAAAAGAAGGTGATTTGAAAATAGATCCTTCAAATGAAAATTTAAAATCTAAAATTAAAGTTCTTCAACATCAGCTTAACTTGTTGCTCTCGGAAGAAATGGCTAAAAATGTGAAATTTGCAAAACAGAATTATTTTGAGCATGCAAATAAATCAGGGCGATGGCTAGCCTATAAACTCAGACAGGAAAGAGAAAAGAGATTGATCCATTCTTTATATGATGGAGAGAAGAAGGAGAAAGAAGAGCTGAAGAAAATTGTGCAATCTTTTTATACTCAGCTATATATCTGTTTATATATCAAAGGAAAAACAAAAACAATATATGCAAGAACAGGATCTCCCTATATTATCTGAAGAGAACAGGAACTATCTTAATGACCCTATCACGATAATGGAAATCACAGAAGCTATACAAAAGCAAAAAATTGGGAAAACATGGGATACCCACAGAATATTATAAAATGCTAGTAGATATTATTCTTTTACTATGATTATGACAGTTATGGAAGAGGGGTTTTTGCCTGAATCTTGGATGGAAGCAACCATCTCACTGATACATAAAGAAGAAACAGATCCAAAAGAAGTTAAGAATTATCAACCTATATCTTTGCTTAACTGTGACTATAAAATTTTCACATCAGTCTTTGCCACAAGATTGAAAAAAGTACTATCAGAACTTATACATCATGATCAAACAGGATTTATACCGAAAAGGCAACTAAGGAACAATGTCAGAATGGTTCTGAATACATTAGAATATTATGAATCTCATCCTGAGAAACACGTGGCCCTAGTATTTTTGGATGCTGAAAAAGCCTTTGATAATGTCAGCTGACAATTTCTTATTGAACAGATGAAGGAAATGAAATTTGGACCTGACTTTATAACAGTAGTTGAAGCCATCTATACTAAACAGAAAGCAAGGATAACTATAAATAATGACTTGACAGATACTATTTGGATCTTGAAAGGGACAAGACAAGGGTGCCCTTTGTCACCACTTGTATTTATCTTAACTGCAATCAAAGGAGCCACAGTTAAGGGTCATAAGTATAAGCTTACAAGCATTTGCAGACGATCTAGTATTCATTTTGGAAGGCCCAACAGATTCTATAGAATATTTGTTGAATAAAATTAAAGAGTATGAAGAAATGGCTGGGATGAAAATTAATTACCAAAAGACAAAAGGTGATAACAAAGAATGTGACTTTTATCCAGAAAATGGAGTTAATTCATCTAACAGAATTTCAGCTAGAGAAAAGAGTTAAATATCTGGGAATAAATTTAACTCCAAAGTGTAGTTCTTTGGTGAAGGACAATTATTTGAAATTGCTTCAAGAGACTAAGAAATATTTAGAAAGATGGAAAGCTCTCCATTTATCCCTAACGAGAAGGATTGCAGCTGTGAAAATGAATATATTGCCACATATTATTTTCTTGTAGCAGACTATCCCTGTTTGTATTAATCATTCTTTTTTTGAAGATATGAATAAACAAATATCTAAATTTATTTGGCAAGGGGAAAAGCCAAGAATTAAGTTGAAAGTGTTACAAGACTTTAAAGAAAATGCAGGTTTTGCTCTATTGGATTAGAAAATATATTACAGAGCGGCCTGCCTGGTATGGATGAGAGACTGGATTCTATTGGCTAATCAAAGACTTTTAGCTCTAGAGGGACATGATTTAAAGTCAGGGTGACATGCCTTTGCTTGGTATGGGAAAGCAGTTGGACATAAATACTTTAAAAATCATCTGATAAGAAAATTCCTATTAACAACTTGGGAAAAAATCTTACCTTTGGTGTACTCTAAAATTCCAAGATGGGTCTTACCCCTGGAAGCCTTCTCACAACCAAGTTTAATCCCCTCAGACAGAATTTTTAGGTATGAAGATCTCTTAGATGACAAAAGACTTTTAAAAACAAAGGAAGGATTAATAAAGCAGGGGATTAGTATAGATTGGTTGACAAGGGCTCAAATTGAATCTAGATAGGCTAAAGATTAAAAAGTTGGTTTTTATTCTGAATGAAGTATATTTGAGAAGTTATGTACATCTAATGATAAGTTGATCGAGAAAATGTATGTATTTTTAATGCAAATGAAAATGGAAGATGAAATGGTTAAAGACCATGGTGAAATGGATGCAAAATTTAGGTCATAATATTGATCTTACACAGTGGAACAAACTATGGAAAGTGAATGTGGAAATAACTAAATCGGTGGCATTTCAAGAGAATCTGTATAAGATGTTCTATAGATGGTATTTAACACCAGACAAATTAGCTTAAAATGTATAAAAATATGTCAAATAATTGTTGGAAGTGTAAAAAACGTATGTGTATGTTTTATCATACGTGGCAGACATGTGATATAGTGCGTATGTTTTCGGTTATGGTACATACCTTTATACAGACAGTTTCGCAGATCTCCGTACCTTTTCGACCAGAATTGTTTTTGTTGAATTGTATACCAGAGAACTTTGACAAAAATCAAAGATATTTTATAATTCATGTAGTAACTGCCACTTGAATCTTGTTTGCAACTTACTGGAAACTTCCATCAACACTTTCTGAACATGATCTAATAGCGAAGACTATGGAAAGTGTGGACATAGACAAATTGACTTCAATGTTAACAGGGCAAATGAAAGAAGACTTTGTTGGACTATGGACTATGGACTCCATTTTATAATTGGATAATTGGATATAAAGATTTGAACTTTCTAATATTATAATATTAAGAAGCTTTTATTAATTTTAAATAAAAATATAAATAAATATCACAGCTTATTGGTGTATAATATGAAATGACTAGTAGAGGAAAGTTACATGCTGAAAATCAATACTTTTGTTCATTCCCCTGCCCCTTCTCCTTTCCCCTTTCTTGTGTATCTTAAAAACTTAATAAAAAAATATTTTTTTTAAAAAAAAAAAAGCATGGCCTGGACAAAATAAAATAATTGGGATTGAACAGAGCAAAGGTCACAGAAAAGACTGTGTTCATGCATCTCTCAAGATCCAGATAAGTAAATCCTTGGTTAGTGCTTGAGTAGTACAGCAGGTAGCATACATAGTGAGATGAAAGAGGCCTACAGAATCCAACTTGACAAGGAGCAAAGCACAGGGTAGGTGGTGACAGACATCTAGAGCAATGAGGACCACTACGTTGGTTTACTACCTCCCCCCCCCCTTGTACTTCAGTCAATACAAGCAATCAAGGTTTGGGAAAATAATGACTGACTGACTGACTGACTGACTGACTGACTGACCTGACTACTGTGTTGAGTTCAGCCAGTTCACAGAAGGCTGCTAAGACTTTGTCTTCTATTTCGTTGTATAAAATGAAATGTCTCCTGTCTTTTAGCAAGAAAAGCCATATACTTTTCTTGGATTGTTTTATTTTTTTCACTTATGTTAATTTAATTTCTTTGATTCTTTTTAGGGCCCACCAGGAGGTGGAGGACCCCCAGGAACACCCATCATGCCTAGTCCAGCAGGTATTAATGTAATCAAAAAATATGAAAACAATTAAAATAACCTGAGTATTTAAGTATTTAAGAGTATATCTGCAGCCATCAACGAGATCGCTCCCCGGCACCCTCTGCGCCCCCGCTCTAAACTTGCTCCCTGGTTTACCCAGGAGTTGCAGCTTATGAAGTGAGAGCTGAGACGGCTAGAGAGACAGTGGTGCCGGGCTCAAGACGAAGCTACAAGAACATCTTATAGGACGTTTATGAGATCCTATGCGATGGCAGTCAAAGCTGCTAAGCATGAGTTTTTTGCGGCCACAATTGCGGCCACGAGCTCGCACTCAGCCCAATTGTTTAGAATGATTTAGTCTTTAACAGCTCTGCCACAGGGCAGACTAAATGCTAGGGAATGTGAGGCATTTGTGAGCTATTTCACGAACAAAGTCTTGGCGCTCTGCCACAAACTCCCCGCCACAGGTTTTTTGTTTTTTTTTTGGAATTTTTTATTGCTTTTTCACTATAAACTACAAACTAAACACTACAAATTCAGGGTAGCAAGGTAGATTGATAACCTATCTTATGCTTTGTGTGT